TTTACTAATCATCTGTGAGTCCAGTTTGATAGAAATTTAAATACTGTGTTAGATTTTAATTTCCATGAGGGCAGAAATAAGATTGATCTTCATCACTCATGCAATCATTTGCTCATCCATGCTACAAATACATATTAAGTGCCTAATACATATGCCAAGTATTCAAAATATTTTTTCCAGCACATCTGAAGTTTTTGTTTAAGTGAAAATACAGGCTTTCTGGTCAAGATGGCAGAGGAGGTAACCACTGTGCTTGCCTCCTTTTATGACCACATCAAAATTACAGCTAAACTAAGAACAACCATCATTAAGAACTGCCTGAAATCTAGCTGAACAGAAGTCCTACAACTAAGGACATACAAAAGAAGCCACCTTGAGACTAGTAGGAGGAGCAGAGATGTGGACTGGGCTGGTCCCACACCTGCCTGAGGCAGTTAAAAATTGGAAGGGATATCTTGGTTTCAAAGGTTCCCCCCTGAGGAGTGAGGGGTCCCAGCCCCACTCCAGGCTCCCCAGCCCAGGGTTTCATTGCCAGGGAGAGAAGTCCCCATAGCTTATAGCTGAAAATCAGTGGAGATTGTGGCTGGGTGAGGTGGAGGACAGCTGGAATCCCAGGTGTTCTCCTTAAAGTTCCCACACATGTATGTACTCTCTGATGGACCCACTCAATCTGAGCTCCAGCATTGGGGCAGCAGCTTGAAAGGTGCCAGGGACATACAGAGAGGAACTGAATTGTCTGGCTTCTGGACAAGGGCTAAAAGGGCAGCCTTCTCACAGACAGAAATGCTAGCACAATCCATTATTTCTTAGTTGAGCCCTCCCCCTTACAACATCCAGACACAGCTGGCTGCCACATCTGAGTCTCCATCAACCTGGCTAACACCATTTGTCTGCCCTGGTGATTCCCTGAGACCCCACACCACCCAACTCGTAGATCCACCCAAGCCGTTTCCAGTGGCTATTCCATGCAAACAGCTTGTCTTGGCTCATGTTGTGGACTTTCCTAAAATCTCTTGAAGTTTCACAAACCCCAAACAAACAGCATCTGGCTTCAGCATGCCCTGTACCTCTTGCTGAGCAGCCCCAAGCCCAGCATTGGTGGCAGCCTTCGTTCGTGTCTTGGCCTCTCAAGGCACCTCCAAGCCCAGTGCAGGTGGCTGCCATCTGCAGATTTATTTGTGGCCCATACCACGTGACCCCAGGTAGGGCACAGACTATGGCTGAACTTGGTCTGTGGTGGGGTCTCTTCTAGGAGGCCCTGGGGCCAGCATGCCTGGTGGCCTGCTTTGAATCACACCAGAACAGCACCCAGCTGCCTCTGCAGATGATATACCCAAAGGGCAGACTGAGCAGGCACCAGAGCCCTGCTAAAGTAAATTCTGCTCTATAGGGTCAGCCCCTCTACAACACCTCCTCTACTACTGTAGTCATCGCCAGTCCTCACAACCAATCAGCCTGAGGGTCAATCCCTCCTATTCATGTGCAAACAGCTACCAAGGCTCAACTATAACAGGAGAGACACACAACCCACAAAGAAATGCACGACGTTCTGGTGACTGTGCCACTGGGTCCCTCAGGACACCTACTACATAAGTCCAATCTACTAAGACTGAGAGACACAGCAACTCTACCTAATACATATAAATAAACACAGAGAGGCAGTCAAAATGGGGAGACAAAGAAACACATCCCAAATAAAAGAACAGAATATAGCTCCAGAAAAAGAACTAAACAAAATGGAGACAAGCAATCTACCAGAAGCAGAGTTCAAAATACTGGTTATAAGGATGCTTAGTGATCTCAGGAAAAACTTCAACAAGGAGATAGGAAACATATAAATGGAGATTAAAAAAAAGCTTAAAAAAGAACCAGTCAGAAATGAAGAATGCAATAACTGAAATGAAGAATACATTAGAGGGAATCAACAGTAGATTAGATGAAACAAAGGAGTGAATCAGTGCTTTAGAAGATAAGGTAATAGAAAACACCCAATCAGAACTGCAAAAAGGAAAAAAAATCCCCCCAAAATGAGGCTAGTTTAAGAGGCCTCTAGGACAACATCAAGCATAACAGATTCACATCATAGGGGTCCCAGAAGAAAAAGAGAGAGAGCAAGGAATTGAAAACCTATTTGAAGAAATAATGATGGAAAACTTCCCTAACCTAGTGAAGGAGACAGACATACAAGCCCAGGAAGCACCCAGAGTCCCAACAAGATGAACCCAAAGAGGCCCACACCAAAACACATCATAATTAAAATGCCAAAGTTTAAAGACAAAAAAAGAATCTTAAAAGCAGCAAGAGAAAAGCAGTTAGTTACCTACAAGGGAGCTCCCATAAGATTGTCAGCTCATTTCTCAACAGAAACTTTGCAGGCAAATAGGGATTGGCAGGAAATATTCAAAGTGATTCAAAGCAAGACCTACAACCAAGATTACCCAGCAAAGCTATCATTTAGAATCTAAGGCCAGATAAAGAGCCTCCCAGACCATAGAAAGCTAAAGGAGCTCATCGCCAACAAACCAGTATTACAAGAAATGTTAAGGGGACTTATTTAAGAAGAAGAAAAAAAGATAAAAAATATGAATAATAAAATGGCAATAATCGCATCTGTGTCAGCAGTTACTGTAAATGCAAGTGGATCAAATGTCCCAATCAAAAGATGGGGGGCTGAATGGATAAGGAAACAAGACCCTTAAATATGCTGTTTACAAGAGACTCACTTCAGATCAAAAGACACACAGACTGAAAGTAAAGGGATTGGGAAAGGATATTTTATGAAAATGAAAATGGAAAAAAAGTAAAAAAGCTGGAGTAGCAATACTTATACCAGACAAAATAGACTTTAAAACAAAGGCTATAACAAGAGACAAAGAAAGACCCAGTAATCTCACTAAAGGGTATTTATCTGAAATAAATCCAAAACACTATTTTCAGGGGACATGTGCATCCATATGTTCATTGCAGCATTGTTTACAATGGCCAAGATGTGGAGGCAGCCTGGGTGTCCATCATACATATACACAATGGAATATTGCTATGGAAGGGAATGGGTTCTTGCCATCTGCAGCAGCATGGATAGACCTGGAGGATATTGTGCTGAATGAAGTATGTCAGACTTCATTCAGATGCAATGTGATTTTACAGATGCAATGTGATTTCGCTTATATGTGGAATCTAAAGAACAAAATAAACAAAACAAAAACAAACCCATAGATACAGAGAACATTTTGATGGTTACCAGATGTGAGGGGTTGAAAGGGGTGGGTAAAAATGGTGAGGGGATTAAGAAGTACAAATCAGTAGTTACAAAATAGTCATGGGGATATAAAGTATAGCTTAGGGAATATAGTCAGTAATACTGTAATAACTATGTATGATGTCAGATGGGTACTAGATCTATTGGGATGGTCACTTCATAAGTTATATAAATGTCTAATCACTATGTTGTACACTTGAAACTAATATAATGTCAACTGTAATTGAAAAAGAAAAAAAAATTTTTAAATAAAGATAAAAATACAGAATATTATGAAAGTTCATCACAGAAGGACCTAATCTTTTCTAGTGGATCAGTGGGCTCCCTAGAGCAAGTGGTTTTATACTGCACACTAAAGAATACAGAGGAGTTGCTTGGATGAGGTTGGGGAAGATGCCACATTCCATTTAGATGGACAAGCATGTGCTAAGGCCCTGAGGCAGGGAGGACGGAACATGTTAGTGGCTACAGCCTGGAGAGTGAGAGAACGAGGCGTGCCGAGGAGCCTGGAAGGTGTGTAGGGGCTGGATCATGCAGGCCTTGCAGGCTGGAATATGATTTCTTCCATCTGTTTATTTCAATAAATGTAAAGCCTATACAAAAGTTGCAAGTGTAGTAGAGTGGATCACCTACATTTTCAAATTGTTAACATTTTGCTATAGTTGCATGCTGTCTTTCAAACACACACATGTGCATGCACAGACACATTTTTTCCATTTGCAGAACCACTTAAGAGTAAGTTATAGACAACATGTCATGTTAAAAAGCATATTACATTTAAAAGCATGTATCTTCCCAAATCAAAGATTATCTCTGATATAATCACAATACTATTGTACACCCAAGAAACTTAACACTGACAAAATACCTTTACCTAGCACACAGTCCATATTTAAATCTTGAATTGTCACAATGATGTACTTTGCTAACTTTTTAAAAGGAAATCCAAGGACCAGTCAAGGACCATACATTGTGTTTAGATATCTAGTGGCATTTTGGAGGCAAGTTTAGGTCAGTTATTGTGTAAAATGTTCATTGATTTAAATTTGCCTGATTATTTCTTCATGATGAAATTCATTTTGAACATTTATAGCAAGAATACCCCTAGGTGATACGAGACACTGAAACTACCTAACCTCAGGAGCACTGATGTCAGTTTCTGTTACTGATGATGTTAAATTTGATCACTTAATGAAGGAGCTGTCCACCAGTTTCATCATAAAGATAAAAATTTTCTTTTGTAAGAAAGAATGTAATCTGGAGGATGGTACCTTGAGATTCTGTAAATATTATGTTCCCCAACAATCTTTCACCCAATGTTTTTAGCAAACAATGGCATCCCTCGCCCGAGATAATTATTACTCTGGTGATTGCAAAATGGTGATTTTTCTAATCGTATAATTTTTCCTGTAGTAGTTGGTTGTCTTCTGTGAAGAAGAGCCATTCTTCTCCTCCACCATTTTAAAACAGTATTAGTATGGACTTGTGGATTTTTAAAATATGAATTTAAGATTTAATATATGTTTATCATCCATTTCTAACATTAATCATTTTGATATTTCAATTTTCCCATATTTGGCCAGCAGGAGCCCCTATCTGAAAGATTTTTGAGAAATAATATGAATTGGGTGAATGAAACAATAGTATGAAAGTGATGAAAATACCTGTGTTTCCTATGCCTTTTTCTCCTGAGCATGTCTATTGGCCAATGTAACATGATTTTATCTCTATTTGCCTCTAGGTATCATGGATTAGTTGGCTCTCATTCAGCAGGCACCTAACAGATAAGTCATCCTGCTGTATATCAAGACAATGCTTGGTTTTAAAACTGCTCTGAAACTGATTGAAAGCAGTATCCCATGTGACATGTGACATTGTCAGTGGGCCACAAGCACCTTCAGAATTTCCTATTAATCACGTAGCGGCTTGAAGGAAACCCCTTTCCGTCAAGTAGGACTGCATGGCAAGCAGCCCTCGCTGAAGGGTGGAAAATGAGTGTCCCATTGGCTCCTAAGAAATCATGTTACACTCAGTTGCAGGACAACAGAAAGGGAGCAAAAAATAATAATGAGAGTCTCCTAAGTCTGGGAGATACAAACGCCAATGAAATCATGGTGGAGGTCAGTCCCCCTCACGATGAGTCTGAGACATGTGACCTGACAGATGAAATTGGAAATGCAAATTCACGTGAACCAGGAAACAGTACCCATTTCCATAAGGAATTTCATCAACTTCAGAGCGTTGGGAAAGGATCTCAGGCTGGCCCAACCAGCCTGAAAGATTTTAAATTTTCTTCGACAGTTGGTGGGGAACTAAATGAAGAGCACACAACACAGAGAGGCCCAGCTCCCCTGCAGACCCCGCGGAGTGTCCAGGGATCAAGTCTGGCAAGTTGGAGGAATGTTATAGGTGAGGCCAGTGCAGACATTTTGACTAAAAGGGGCGCTGAGATTCCAAGGCATGCTCCCAAGGATAAATTGGCAAAGACCCTTGACAACGAGGAACTGAGAAGGCATGCTTTGGAAAGGGCTGGTGGCTCTGCTGCTGGCGTGGACATGTTCACAAAGGAGCGTGCTGAGAGCTTGATCTGGCCACTTCTGCCACCTGCCCCACTGGCCTCCCCTGGAGCCCTGGGTCACATGACTGGGGTTGGAGCAGAGCCACAGAAGACAGTGACAACCCACTCCCCAGGGACAGCTTTTCCTCTAGCTGACAGCACTTCAGAGGGAATGACTGTGCATCATCCTAAACCATCTACCTCAGAAACCAAGGAGACCACCTGCTTAGAGACCCAGATGGAGAGGGGACATGTGAGCGAAGGTAGCAATGAGAGCACACCACGTTCTGTCCATCCAGAGCGTGCTCTGACTTCAACGTCAGCTTCGAAGGAAGTTCTGAGTAAGCAGGAAGCACAATTAGGTCAGAAGAAGGGGGAGGCCAAGCTAGAGCTGACATTTGCACAACCCAGGGCCGGGCAGGAGTTAATGTCACCCCAGGCCGAGTGTCTGGGGTGGCCCAAGGACAACAGTGTGTTACCCCTAGACAGAAAGGGGCCGGGTCAGGAAGCACAGCAAGAAGCCACCACCCAGACACTGAGCAGTCCACCCCACGGAAATCTCCACCCGCTTTGCATGGGAAGAAGCGGAAGTGGGCAGGACAAGGGCACCGTCCATCTCGATGAGCAGGGTCCTCTTCAGACCACCCCCAAACAAGGCCCTGCTTCCATGGGAGGTGCTGATAACCAGGCCCCTGGCAAACTTTCACCAAGTACAGCTAGAAAACTGCGTGAATCGTCATCCAGCAGCATGTCACCAGGTGATGGTCACATCGCTGTTATTCTTGACCACCCGACTGACAGCACGCCCTTAGATGTTGGTCAGGAAAAAGGGGACAGGGGTAGTGCTATGGTTTTTACTTCAGATCCTTCTGTTGGAGAGAGCAAAACTGGGGTCCCTGAACCCCTTGACCCTCAAAGCAGCAGCTCAGAAGCAGGGGAAAGCAAAGCAGTCACTACACCTGTTGCTGAAAGTAGGAACCATCTAGAAAGTGCAGTTAAGGCTGAAAGTGCTCCAGCAAGAACAGATCCTCTGCTCAGCGTCCCAGCCCCTCTCCTCCCAGAGACAATTGTGAATGCGACCCGCCAGCCTGCACCACCCGGTACCAGTTTTCAGGACTTGAGCATGTTGAGTATGAATGCGGGGTCACCCTCGGCTGCCCCACCTCCCACCGACAGCATGTGGTTGTTGAACACCTCCCCGAAGGTGCCTGACAAGAACACCTGCCCCAGTGGGATCCCCAAGCCTGTCTCCACACATTGCGAGGACACGCCTTCCTCACAGGAGGGCCTGGAAAACCACCAGGTTGACAAAATGGAAGAAAGGACAGAACCCAAGCCCATCATTTTGCCCAAGCCCAAGCACGTAAGGCCCAAGATCATTACCTACATCAGGAGGAGTCCCCAGGCCCTCAGCCAGGTGGATGCTTCGCTGGTCCCAGTGGGGCTTCCTTATGCCCCGCCCACATGTGATATGCCCCTTCCCAAAGAGGAGAAGGTGGCAGGCGGTGACCTGAAGCCGGCTGTAAACCTGTATGAGAAGTTCAAGCCAGACTTGCAGAAGCCAAGGGTCTTCAGCCCTGGACTGATGGTGTCTGGGATCAGGCCCCCAGGACACCATTTCAGCCAGATGAGTGACAAGTTTTTGCAGGAGGTAAGAGAATATCATTGTGATACCATCTATTAGGTGAACACCCTAAAGTTTGTTTTATATTTTTAATGAATTGTGAAAACAGGATATCCTCTCAGGAAATTGCAGATATTGGTGGATACCCTTGTGCAGAAATGGATGTTTTTAATAGAGGAGATTGTGGACAAAGGGATATTTTTGACTGGAAAAGTTTGATGATCATGACATGGATCTAACATCGAAGGAGGCTCTTTTAAATTCCACTTGATAAAATATACGTGAAGTTAGATAAGTATGTATTTATATTGGCTTCCATGTTTAAATAAGTGAAATAAGTCTTCTAAAAGCCAGGTCAATGGAAAAAGAAACCCAAAATAAATATATTGTTCAAATTGGTCAGACTTCATCCTTCAAGGGAGGGTATTTCCCTTGTGGGACAATCTCATATTCACACATGTGAGGTACGCAGTGAGTAGAAAATAATATGTTAGGCATGCACTAGTTATTTTAAGTCAAAATAGTAGTTACAACTAACATTTAGTTGAGTGCCTACTATGCCTTGGGCCCACGGAACATATTTAATCTTTGTCAGTCTTCAACAATCGTTACCATAATTCTCTGGAGGTTGGGATTGCTGTTTTTATCATTGTACAGATGAGGAAACAGACTTGGAGAAGGCTGAGTAACTCCCCTGCAGCCACAGAAGAAGGGTGGGCTGAGGTGCTCCCCTAGGGCCTCCCCGTTTCCTCATGGTGCTGCCCTTTTAGTAAACCTGGGTGCTGTGGCATGTCATCCTCCCGGAGCTCAAGAGAGAAAATTGGTCTCCTGAAGCAATCTTCTCGTTCCAGGCAGAGTGATCAGTTGGAAGCAAAGCTGGCTCAGATCACTCCTGTCCCTAACATCCTTCAGGTCTGCCCAGGACACCCAGAACACAGGCTGGAGCCTGGAGGGTGGCTCAGCCTGGAGGGCGTTCTCAGTGTATCTCCATTCCCTCCTGGCCACCTTCCCTTCCTCCACTCCCTTTGCACTTCCCTCTGCTTGGAATATTCTTCTCCCAGATATCTGAATGACACTCCCCTTCACTTTTTCTTTTGCCTTTGAAGAAATAGCCTGCCTTTCATCCTTCCTTCCTTCCTTCCTTCCTTCCTTCCTTCCTTCCTTCCTTCCTTCATTCATTCTTTCCTTCCTCTTTTCCTTCCTTCCTCCCTTCCTTCCTCCCTTCCTTCCTCCCTCCCTTCCTTCCTTCCTTCCTTCTTTCCTTCCTTCCTTCCTTCCTTCCTTCCTTCCTTCATTCCTTCCTCCTTCCTTCCTTCCTTCCTTCCTTCCTTCCTTCCCTCATTTATTTATTTATTTATATTTATAAATTTTACATTATTTTTAAAAATTATTTTAATTATAGATGGCAAATATATTAGTTTCAGGTTTATAGTGTAGAGGTTAGACATTTATATACCCTACAAAGTGATGCCCCTGGTAAGTCTAGTACCTACCTGGCACCATACATAGTTATTACAGTATTATTGAATATATTCCCTAGGCTGTACTTTACATCCCTGTGACTATTTTGTAGCTACCAGTTTGTACTTCTTAATCCCTTCCCGTTTTTCACCCATCCCTCCAAACCCCTCCCATCTGGCAACCATCAAATGTTCTCTGTATCTGTGAGTTTGTTTCTGTTTTGTTTGTTCATTTATTTTGTTTTTTAGATTCCACATATAAGTGAAATCCTTCACTTTCTTTAGATCTCTTTTCAAATCTCACTTCATTGGAGAGGCCACCTTCCCTTTGAAACCCCTTTCTCTAGTTTATTATTTTTAGCATTATCTCCTCCTGACGTACATACATTTTTGTTTTTGCTGCATTAACTAGAATGTGAAGTCCATGAGAGCAGGGCCTTTTTCTGTTTTTTGTTACCTGCTGTGACACCAGAGTTTATAGCTGTGCTGGCATAAACATGTGCTCCAAAAATGTTGAATGAGAGCTGAATTTTGAACTCACATATGCTGGATCCAAATGAAAGTGAACCACAGCTCCCAAGAGACAGAATGACTGAGTTCAAAGCTGGACCGTAGCTTGATTGACTGTATCGGCATTTTTGCAGACTGCACTGATTGCAGCAGAAGGTGTCAGCTCTGGCACCGAGCATGCTGAGTCCATTGTCACGAGCAGGCCTTGACAATGACTAGCCCTGACCAGGTGCCCCAGCCAGCTGACCCTCTGGCCTGCCTGGGGCGGGCCATTAGCACCGAATCACGTGGCTCGTGCCCTGCCTTCTGACTCTGGGCTTGCTGGAGAGGCTTACCTGCTTACACCTCTAGAGAGAGGATGCTGGGGGAAGAGTTCAGGGGTCCATTCTCATTGGCAGGGGTTTGTCTCGCTGTCAGGCTGCATGGTGCCCTGTTTTGAGTGCACTGAGAGTATGTTCCAGCCAGAGGGCTCTAAATCTGGCCCTGGTCAGTGGCATCTCACTCACAACAGACAAATTGCCAGTCTGGTTTTATGCATCAGTCTCTGAGCTTGATTAATGTGATTCTTTCTCAGATTTCCCAAAATGCATCTTCCTGGGCCTCTGAGGCTCACGGTCCAGGCTGCTTGCTAAGGCAGGAACGCCTCTCGTGAGGCCCCTGGGAGGCAGCCATCTGACCCTCCCTAGGGCTGCAGGAACCAGCGCTGGGTAAATAAGTGAATGAGACTTTTCTTCTCCAAGTATCACTGCAGAAGTAACCAACTTATGCAATATGCCCCCAAAATCTGGTACAGTGGAGTATCTCTTTGACAGGCACACCCTGGGAGAGAGTGATAATGAGCACTAAGTCTTAGGCAGGCTTCTTAGCCACCTGATGCCTTGTCTGGTCACCAAGGCAGTGCATGCATATTAGGGTTGCCCTTCCCTTTTCTATAAGTTGTACCAAAACATCCACTTAAGTTCTTTCACTTGTCCCATTTCTCCAAATATAAAATAATTTGATATCTCTTGCCCCCACCCCACCAAAAAAAGATCCCCTACAGTTTTTTTCTGCAAAAATGCATTCATGAGAGAATATTTGGAGATGAAAACAAAAATCCTGTTATTGTCTGCAATTCTTTCTCTGTGATACTTCCTAATTTTTCTTTTGTGTATTTCTTTTCTGTATTGCTTTTGTTCCCTTCATAAAGTGTAGAATAATTTATATATATATGTACATTTCCCTCCAAATATTTCCTGTTGTAATCCTCTAGAAGTCACCTGAGTGTCAAGGCAATGGGATAGTATGGGTGCTTGTGTGGCCTAGTAGTTCTGAGGGCTTTGGAGAGACCGCGTTGGTGTGGGGATGGCAGTGCCACTGTGCATCAATCACTCTATCTAGGGACCATTTTCAGCCATGATTAGAGCACCTGAGGCCCAGACCTTTTTCTCAGGCTACAGGATGGAGCAGAGACGAGACGCCCCAGTTGTTGTGCTGGACTAATTCCTGTGATAATCTTTAATCAAAAGTGGGGAACAGGCTGGCCCTTGCCCTTGCTCTTATGTTTGCAATGCTGTAGTTCACGAGCCCCCTCCCGTGTGCAGGCTTGGCGCGGGGGCAGGGGATCTGAGGACCACCCCTTTGTCCCTCCCCCCGACCACCGCCTCCTCCGCCATTGTGCCTCAGCTCCCACAGGATGCCTTCAGCCAGTCCCCAGGAAAAGAACACATTTCTGACTAGTTGCAACAGAAATATTTTTCAATTGTAGAAGTCATATATCTTTTTAATAAAATGGGAGAATCTTCACAATAAAGAACCAAACCAGCCTCAGACTCTGCCATCATTACGGCCAGACGCCTGCTGGTTAAACAGCATGAGTAGAAATGGAGAGGTCAAGAGTCAGTGCTCCTGTGAGAGAGAGCGTCTCCACTCAGCTGGCAGGGACGGCACACACATTAGAGCTTCCAGAAGTGGCTTTGAAGATGATCTCAGATCCAGTCATGCCAGGATGATAAAATCTGCTTATCGTTTAGACTATTTTCTGCTTTCAGCTATCCTGAGCTCTCAGGGACACTTCCTCCTACTGATCCTTGTGGAAACCCTCTTACTGTTTGGTGTAGAGTGGTGGGAAGAAGGTAGCAGGGGTGAGAGGTTAGGTTATGTGCTTGGGATAGACAGATGTGTGACTTGGGCTGATCTCCCTTCCTGCTCCTTGGTACCACCTCATCTCTGAAGGACACTGTGTCAGGGTTCTCCAGAGAAACACAACATACATATAGACATGCATGTGTGTATGTATGGACCTGTCTATCTGTCTATCTGCCTGTCTACCAAGACTGTAAGGGATTGGCTCATGCATTGCAGAGACTGGCAAGTCCCAAATCTGCAGGCTGGGAATCTAGGGAAGAGTTGGTGCTGCATTTCGAGTCCAAAGGTAGCATGCTGGCAGAGTCCCCTCTTCTCTAAGGAAGCTCGGTCTTTTCCTCTTAAGGCCTTCAGCTGATTAGATGAGGCCCACCCACATTATGGAGGGTGATTTGCTTCATTCAAGAGCTATTGCTTTAAATGTTGATCTTGTCTGGAAAATACTGCTACAGAAATATCTAGAATGATCTTTGACCAAATAGCTGGGTACTGTGGCCTTGCCAAGTTGACAAAATTAGCCATTACAAGCCCTCTCCCTGCAACCTTTCCAATGGTTTCTGAGTGAAGATGCCACATTCACCCCATGTCTTTCCATCTCACGGGGTCACAGAAAACAGGACAAGGGCAAAAATGAAGAGGGTCGGTCCAGGAAGAACTGTTTTGTTTGTGTGCCATGATTGATTTTAGGAGTTTGTTTGAAATCACAAGCATCTTTGAGTTTGCTTTCAAAATTATTTCTCTAAAAATAGTCCTTTAGAGAAAGAGGGAAAAAACCCTCCAAAACATTTGGGGTTGATCACTATGTGCTTATGACTGTGCAGTGACACCTTCTGAGTTTTGTCAATAAAGATGAAAGAAAAGAGTGTGAAGCTGTTTGCAGATGTCCTTGTTTTATTAAAAATATACAGATTAGGCACCTGAGGCATACTTTTCAACTTTTAAAGAATTTGTCATCTAACCAGACAAATTACCGAACACAATGAAAGGCATTGAAGTTACTGAAATCGTGAAGATTATTTTTCACTGACAGAATGGTGGGTTTTGACCCCCTGAAAAGTACCCAGTTTCAAAGAACTGAGTAATTACTGCGATCAGCATATTGCAATCCTAAAAGTCTGACAGATGTAGGTTAGAAATGACAATAATTTTTTCATGTGAGCACCTGCTAAAAGCTGTGAGCGATGGCCCCAAATTTAGAAATGAAAATAAGAAAATAGAGGAAATATGAGTATAATATAAAAGCCAAAGACTGATCGAGATTAAGTAGAGAACAGTAAAAATTTTATCAGACAGCAAATGTAAAATGTTCTTTCACAGGAATATAATTTGTTGCCGCCTGGCTTCAGTATCTACTGTAGGAATCATGCATATTTTACAATGTGATTATGATAAAACTTTAAAGGCTAATCTTTTGTTTCAATAATGTCAATTTCAGGAGAACTTTTCATCTATTTCAACATTAAAAGAATATCAAATTAAGGGTTTATCTCTTCAACAGCTTGGATCAAAGCTTTGTCGCCCCTATTAAAGAGTGTTGTGAAATGCTTGTGATTTCTGAATATGCTTAACACATAAAATATATTGTGATTTACAGCAGAATTAATTAACAAATGTATCTTTTCATGTGTAGCCTCTGGCGCTATTTTTCTTAATTGAGAGGAAATGGATTATTTAGTTGCCTTAGTTTTTCATTTGTAATATGAAGAAACATTGATAGTGTGAACAAACTTCGTGAATCCAGAATTGCATAGACAAAGGGTGCCAAAAAAATGTATACACACTTTAAGAAAGGAAAAAACTGTATTAAAATTGTAATACTTGGGCTGGTCGAGTGGCTTGTTGGTTAAGAGTGAGTTGGCTTGGGGGCGCGAGCTCTGAGCAGCAGGGCCTCCAGTTTGGATCCCACATGGGCCAGTGATGCTGCACCTTCTACAGCTAAGGTGGTGAACAATGGGTCAATGTGGAGCTGGGCTGCTGGGAGTCGCCAGTGAAGGTGTAGGCTGCAGTGGGTCTGCAGTGGGCTGCCATGAGTTGCCCTGAGCTACCGTGAGTGGCAGTCCAATGGCTGGCGACTGATCTGCCTCAGCTGGGAAGAGCGCAATGATCACAATGCCAACATGGGTCAGTGAAGCGACGTCCTCCACAACTAGACTGAGGAACAAAAGGACAGCAACTTGTCTGTTCCCCTTCCCCGATTCCCCAATGCTGTTGCCTCCCCCAATTCTCCAATAAAATAAAATAAAATTGTAATAATCAATATATACCAATAACAAAAGATGAGTACAATTCACGTTTGACTTCTGCAATTACAAGAAGTGCTCAAAGTGGTTACCATCAGCATCCAGAGACTTCTGATTATGGCGAACATTGTTTGGTAGACTTTTGTGGTGAGCCTGTAAACTGTTCCAACACCATAGCAGGAGAAGCAGGATGTGTTGCTGTGCAAGGCCTCCCTGTGCACATCACACACAGTACTATGTGTGCAATTATCACGAATGCGTGCAATTGTTGGACGTGTTGGAGGTTCTTTTGCATACTCACACCTCCATTGTCATTGTACTTCCACAACATTCTCAAATTCCAAATACCACTTCAAAATGGTCTTGTGCTCCTCAAAAGACATCTGTGCTTCCACCATTTTCTTTGACTGTCCTGCCTGTCACATCATGACGCTAGCATTCATTTAATTGACGCCATCTTTTGAGTGAACATCATACGACACACTGCTACCGCAATTCAATTCAACTTTGAAAAGTAATACATAGATAACATCTCTTAAAATGTATATACATTATTTTGGCACCCTTGGTATAGAAGGTAGTCATAAGATATTCCAGTGTAAGCTGTTAACTATAGGAAAAAGTAACAGGAATGTTATGTTATTAAATTTAGGAAAGAATGGAAACACGATTCCTTTATTTAATAAATGTGTATTGACTTCTGCTCTGTGCTAGACACTGTGCTAGGTGCTGTGAATTCAGCAAGACCCTGCCTAAAGCTTCCGTTCTGGTGAAACTTTCTCGCGCATTCCTGGCAGCACCACCTCGCTAGGGAAGACAGTCAGATGAGCTAATTCACAGTCTCTCATTTTTAATTATGTAAATAGATGCCTGAAAACACACTTTTCCTTTCACTTCTCTGTTCTCCCAAATAGCCTTTTCTTCCTCATAACACTGCATATTTTCTAAGTAGCCTAGAAAAGATTTAACATAAATTGATAAAGTTGATTTACTTACTGTAAGACTACATTACCATAAGAATTGTGCCTTTTCTCCTTAGGAATAATGAAACTTCATGATTCTATGAACAATTGGCTCAATTCTTTTCTTGCTTCTTGACATTATTTATTTATAGATTGGCTATTTGCGCAAATGATTTTGTAACAATCAAATTTAAAAATCTTCCAGAGCGAGTTCTTTTTTTCTCCCAGTGAAATGTAGATCTGTAGAGTATAAGAACTGGAAGAGACCTGAGAGGTCATCTAGGTGTGCTGTCAACTTAGGGTTGAAGACACTGGGGTCCTGAAAAGGCAATTGTTCAGTAATGGAGCAGCTTGTGGCTGCCAGCGAGGTCATTGCAGGGCCTTGGTCTCCTGCCCAGATTCAGTCCTCCTCCCGTGAGGCGAAGTTTTCTGAGTGAACTTTTGGTCATTTATTGTAGGTTACAGAACGCCCGGGGAAAGAAGAGTTTTGCTCAGCTCCCTACGCACACTACGAAGTTCCTCCAACCTTCTACCGATCGGCCATGCTCCTTAAGCCCCAGTTGGGACTGGGCGCCATGTCCCGTCTGCCGTCTGCAAAGAGCAGGATCCTGATCGCGAGTCAGAGGTCTTCAGCGAGCGCCATCCACCCGCCAGGACCCATAGCGACAGCTGCCAGTCTCTACAGTTCCGACCCCGCAGGTAACCCACCCAACAATCACTGCTTTTGGTTGCACTTTAAATAGTAATCATATAAAATGTGGCTAACTGTCTAAGATATCAGTCCCTCTCACCCTGTGCCTTTTTCTGTTCTTCCATCTGACTGTAGATACAGACATTTGTCAAGGCTCATCTCTCTGCAGCAGTCACCCTCCATGTCACTTTTGAAATGATGGCCCTTGTAGCTACCTCCTCACTTCTTATAGTTGCTTCGTTTTCTAACACAGCCTGTAGAGCAGGGTTCAAAAACATTTATCTGTAAGGGGCCAGAGAGTAAATAGTTTAGGCTTTCTGGGCCATAATTGTATGTGTTATAACCACTTAGCATGTAAGCAGCCACAGAGAACCTGTGAATGGATGGGCGAGGCTGTGGCCCATATGACTTAATTTACAATGACAGACAATGGGCTCGGTGAGGCCTGTGGGCTGTAATATGTCAGAGAGCTCTTCCTATAGGACAGCACTGACCATGTCACCCTTTTTCCTTCTGATCATAAATCTTGATGCAGAATGTTCCGGCCACCTCTTCTGGTCCTGTGGCCCTGTTCTACAGTGGCCGTTTAGTGTCACCTCTGTATGTTTTTGTTTTTTTCTCTCCATTCTTTTACTTGTGTGGTTTCCTCTAGGTTTGATGTATTATTTTGTTATAGAAATAATACACACCCATCGTAAAAATTTTTGACTATAGAAAAAGAGGAAAAAGAAAGTAATAGTACTTACATTTTAGCACCCAGCAAGAGTTAGTATTATGGATTTTTTTCTTTCAGTATGCTTTTTTTCTATGCATTTTTCAAAAGTTGAAATGATGCCGAATGTGTATTTTGTTTTTCCTACTGACATCACATTGTAGGCATTTCCTATGCTGTCGATGTTTCAGAAATATTTAATGGCAGCATAATAGTCTATTTGTTCATTTCTTTGTTTATTCAACAAATTTTGGGTGCTTATTATGTGCCACAAGTTGTAAGTTGAGGAATGCAGCCGTGAACAAGACAGAGAGCTCCTGCCTTCACGTGGCTTACAGTCTAATGGATGAAATAGACAATAAAATACAAGCACAAAAATAAATACATAATTATAAAGTATGATAAATGTCACCAAAGCAAGGAACATAGTGTTTTGAGAAACTGCAGCCTGAAGAGTTAGGTGTATGAATAGGACACAGGTGCTTTGGGGGCAGCATCTCTGAGAGAGTGGGAGAATGGGCGGCTGTGGGAATGATATCAGAATCGATGGGACCATTGTCCAATTATAGGCCATTGGGTTCTGCTTACTCAACACTATTTTCTTCATGTCGCATTTTGAGTCTTTAGTATACTTACTTGTCTTCTTTCATATTGTTAGGATAGAGTATTTCAAGTGGAATTATTGGATAAAAGCGTATCCAAACTTTTTTAAGGCCGACTGGGTTTTTAGAACACTTGTATAACAATTATTTTCATAGTAGTGTTCTTTAAAGTGATTCTTTTTTCCATACCCTTGACAGCACTGTGTCACCATTATTGCTGCTATTATTATCATTATTACTATTATTATTGTATTTCTTTTATTATTAGTGGAACAGAACTTTTTGCATGTTTGCTGTTATATTACTTTGCGAATTTTCATTTACTGAGGTAATTATCGATCATCTTAATGGTTAGGTTTTTTTGACAAGCACTTCTATAAAAAATCAAATTATTCTTTGATGGTTCCCATGATACGTGTATATTGTGATAGACCACCTGTTGTTTTCAGAGCTGCTGCAAGCTAATTATGTATTCAGTCGCTCATTCAACAGTTGTTGCTGTCAGCACTGTTCTAGCTTGGGGTAGGGGAAGATAAGGCAGTGACAACAGACAAAACGCCTGCTCCTGTGGAGCTGAGATTTTAGAATAGGGGGACATGCTTTTTTTAGTAAGTAAATAAATTACCTGGAAATTACATGGTCTGTTGGAAGAAATAACTAATATTCGAGAAAATGAAACAGAGAAGGAGAATAGGAGGTTTGGGACCCGAAAGAGGGGGTTTCAATTTTAAGTAGGGTAATTGGAAAAGGCCTCCCTAAGATGCTGACCTTTTAACCAATCCCCAAAGGAGGTGAAGGAGTGAACTGTATAGATATCCCAGTAGAGCATTCCACGTGGAGGGAGGAGCCAGTGCAAAGGCCCCGAGGTAGCAAGAAGGCCATGGAGGCTGGAGCAGAGTGAGTAGGAGGAAGAATGATAGGGGATGAGAATGGAGAGGTGATTGGCAACTGCGGGAGTTGCCTAAGTCCTAAGAGCCATTGTAAGGATTTGATTCTTACTCTGAGCGAAAAAAACCATTGGAGGGTTTGGAACTAGGCAGTGTGATCTGACTTTTGTGTAAACAGGATCTCTGTAGACACCATGCTGAGAGCACACTGTAAGGGGACAGCAGCTGAAGAAGGGAGAACAGGCAGGAGGTGACACAGTGATGTGGGTGGTGATGTGAGACAGTGAGAAGGTCCAGCACAGGGTCACCTGACTGACTGGACAAGGGCTGGGAGAGAAAATAAACAGTGGACAGTGACTGCATGGCTTTGGGCCTGAGCAACAAGGAGGTGGTGCTGCCTTTAGAGAGCGGGAGAAGAGGATGTAGAAGGGAAGGTGTTTGCTAATAGGGCATGGTAGGTTAAAATGCCTCTTGTCATTTTGTGGGGTAAGCAGTGGGTCTAGGAGACAAGAGTTGGGAGGACAGGACCTGGCTGGAGTATGAAAGTGTTGGTCATCAGCAGATGGACAGTCTGTCCTTAAAGGGTGGCCATTTCTTCACTTACACCTTCATCCTTGAGTTATAAATCTGATGTGACATGTAATTATGTGCTTTTGAAGTAGCATGATGTCACAAATGTTAATAGTTTTACTTTATGCACAAAATTTGGAAAAACAACATTACTAAAAATAAACTTAGTCAAGATACATCTTGCAAGTTTCAAGTAAACCGGGGTCTTTAATGTAATGCCATTTGGGTTTCTTTCAGTTCTAGGATAGAACAAATGAATATACTATGAATATTCATATGCAGATCTTTTGTGGGCACACGGTTTCATTTCTTTTGGGAAAATACCTACAAGTGGAATTTCTGGGTATGTGCATGTTTAATTATATCAGTGTATGTTTAATTTTACATGAAACTGCCCAACTATTTTCCAAAGTGGGTTCCCTCTTACATTTAGGAGAGCCGTGTAGGAGAGTTCCAGTTGCTTCATATCCTAGTAATATCTGGTATTGTTAATCTTTTTCGTATTACCATTCTAGTGGGCGTGCAGTTATATAAAACTACAGATAGTTTTAATTTGCATTTCACTAATGACTAACAGTGTTGAACATCTTTTTATGTGTTTATTTACACTTATATATCTTTTTTGGTAAGGTATCTGTTCAAATCCTTGATCATTTAAAAAAAATCTGATTGTTTTCTTATTATTTGGTTGTAAAAGGTCTTTATATATTCCGAGTGCAAGTTTTCATTTAGATATGTCTTTTGAAAATATTTTCTTCTGGTGTTTGTCTTGACTTTTTATTTTCTTAGTAGTGTCTTTTAAAATGTAAGCTTCTAATTTTGATAAATTTCAGTTTATAAGATTTTTCTTTTATGGCTTATGATTTTTGTTTCCTATCTCGGAAACTTTGCCTAACCCAAGGACTCAAAGATTTTTTTCTATATTTTATAGAAGTTCCATGTTTTATTTCTTATGTTGAGGCCTATAATCCATTTTGAGTTAATTTTTGTATGTGGTATGACGTATACGGGTTATGGTTCATTTTTTTTGCATATAGTGTCCTGTAGTTCCAACTCCAATTCTTGAAAATACTGTCCTTTTCCACTGAAAATGAACTGACCATATACATGTAAGTCTATTTCTGGATTCTACACTGTGTTCCATTGATCTACATGTCTCTCTTCCACATTCTCTTGCATACTATAGATTAGTCGTAAGTCTTGGAATCAAATACCATATTTTGCTGTGTATAATGCACACTTTTTCGTCCAAATTCATGGGGGAATAAAAAGGATGTGCATTACACATCAGTAGTACTAACTCTGTATCCATAGACATGTTTTTAATTCTTTTATTTATGCTTATGAGTTAAACATGTAATTCTAGAAATCAATAACAATATCCATATGCAAAATAATACCCTGGAATACAATAATCGGTTTTGTTAAACTTATGATGAACTTGCAACAACAAAGAGTTCTTGGCCTTCTATGCTACATAAATATTGTAAATTTGTTACCGTTACATAAAATTTCTTGTATCTTGTATCTGTTCTTGTGTTTTGTAATTATTTGTTATATGAAATTTCTTGTACCATAATATGTTAAAAAATAAATACTAAAATTTCTTTATAATATAAAAAACAAGAACCTAAATGTAAACAAATAAAGATTTGAATTAAAATGAAAAAATTTTTTCTCCTGAAAGTTTGGGCCAAAAACATGGGTGTGCATTATACAAGGAAAAATATGGTAGTATAAATCTCACAACTTGTTATCCTTTTTCAAAGTTGTTTGACTATTGTAGATCATCTGAATTTCCATACATATTTTAGAATTAACTTGTCAATTTCAGATATATGCATATATTTGCTGTGAATTTTATTGTGATTGTGTTGGACCTACAGATTAATTTGAAAAGAATGGACATTTCGGGTTGGCCGAGTGGCGCGATGGTTAAGAACTCGCTTGGGATGCCAAAGGGCCCCGGTTCGGATCCCACATATGAGGGCCAGTGACACTGCCCTCCACAGCTAAGATGCTGAACAACAGCTCAACTTGGAGCTGGGCTG